GCGTTTTGACTAACCAATGTTCCTAGATATTTGTATTTATCTACCCTTTCTATCTGGATATTATTAATATGGAGTGTCTCGTTGTCTTTTGGATGTTTTGTAATGACCATGAATTTTGTTTTCTTTAAGTTCATTTTAATACCATATATGGTACACTTTTCATTCAGCCGTTCCAGTATGTTTGTTAGACTTTGCAGAGTTGAAGTGAATATGACAGTATCATCGGCATATCTTATATTGTTAATAATTTCACCATTTATTATCATTCCATCGTTACACTCTCCTAAAGCTTCTTGGAAAATGGCTTCGCTATATATATTAAACAGCAGTGGTGACAATACACAGCCCTGTCTCACACCCCGAAGAATTTCTATTTCTTCCGACATTTGATTTTCAATTCTTATTTTGACTTTCTGGTTCCAGTAGAGGTTCGAGATTACTCTGATGTCGCGGCTATCGATGTTTTTCATTTTTAAAATATTAATTAGTTTATTGTGCTGTACCTTGTCAAATGCTTTTTCAAAATCAATAAAACATGTATACATGTTTTGGTTCATATCCAGATTTCTTTGCATGAGCACATTTATACCGAACAATGCTTCCCTGGTTCCCGTGCCGTTTCTAAAGCCTAACTGACTATCACTAATTTCATCATCCAGCTTTCTGTAAATTCTGTTGTGGACTATTCGTAGAAATACTTTCAAAACATGGCTCATTAATGCAATTGTACGGTGTTCTGAGCATTCTTTTGCATTTTGCTTTTTGGGAATAATTACGAATGTGGATACTAACCACTCATTTGGTAAAATACCTGTTTGATAAATATGATCATAAAGTTCTACTAGAATGTCTATCATTTCATCATCGATCAGTTTAAGAAACTCAATCGGGATTTCATCCGGACCTGTGGCCTTTTTCCCTTTTGTCTGTTTTAATGCGTATTGAACTTCCTGTTTTAAAATTTTTGGTCCCGATTCACCAGAGTCCTCATCTATGATTTGTTGTCTGTCATCCCCGAATAGTTCTTTTATGTATTCTGTCCATCTGTTTAGTTGTTGTTTTGTATCTGTGAGAATGTTACCATTCGAGTCTTTTATAACATGTATATTATTTTGTTTTCCCGACGTCATTTCCTTCACTTTCCGATGAATATTGAAACTATCATATTTCTTTTCATATTCTTCTATTTCGTGACACTGTTCAGTTAGCCATCTTTCTTTTGCTGTTATTATGTCTTTTCTAATCCTGCTGTTTAAGGATTTGTATTTGCTAGTGTTTATGTTTTTATATTTTCTTCTTTCATTCATGAGAGTTAGTATTTCGTCTGTCATCCACATATGTCTTTTCTTTGGTATTGGTCCACGTATTTCTTCTCCCGCTTCTTTTAAAGCTTGTTGAACCTCTCTCCAATTTTCATTTACGTCTTTAGAGTTGGTGTTTTTTGACTTGATGGGTTTAAGATTATCATTGATTTTCTGTCTAACTCTTTGTTCTATCTGAGTATCTTTTAATCTTGTCACATCGAATTCTTTTCTAATCTTTTTGTTTTTTAACTTTTTTAATTTTGCTTCCATTTCGACAATAATAGGGACGTGATCCGAGTATATATCGGCACCTGGATAAGTTTTTGCTGATTTTATTGAATTTTTAAACCTATTTCTGATCAAGACAAAGTCTATTTGGTTTCTGACGATGTGTGATTCTAGGTCTGCTGGTGATTTCCACGTGTATAGTCTACGTTTAGGTAGATCAAATAAGGTATTTACTATAACCAGATCTTCATTTTGGCAAAATTCTAAGAGTCTATCTCCACGTTCATTTCTAACGCCCAATCCAAACTCACCAATCCATGGTGCCACTGCTCCTTTACCAATTTTGGCGTTAAAACAAAAATACTAAAAGCAGGAAAATAGAGACGTTGTCTTAATGTGTGAAAATGAGAGTAATTTAAAAAGTGATCAAAAGTGATTTTGTAAAATAAACCTTGTACAAAGAGAGTCTGTCTTTATAGTTGTTATCGCGACGTCTACATATCACGACCGCTTGATGTGAGCTTTTAGCACAACGGTGTCTATTGTGCATTGTTCATTATTTCAAAAAAGTATATACTGCTCGATAGTTGCGCTTTTGTCAGTATGCGTAAATTTTGACTAATTATGAGCAGAAAATTTAATTCAAACTAAAGTATGTTGACATTTCAATAATTCTACCACGTGATTTTATTCCTTATGGTCAAATCATCTTTCGATAAATATTGACAACTTTACTGCACCATAGGAACAAATTGCAATATGTGGAAACTTCATTATATTATATTATTGGTGATATTACTGTCAGCAAAATATATCTTATGATAATTTCTCTAACAGCAGACTTCATCTTTGACGTTCTAGCCTGTCTGCTCTAATTTCTTAAACAAACCGACTTTACTCAAGGTCTAATGTTGGTAGGTGCGCTAGAAAAATGCTTCTTGATGTGCATTACTCAAGCTTTCTTCAAGCGTTTCTGAATAAGTTTCGTTTTTCGTTTTCAGAAATTCAACCTGGTTGCTATACTTCCTTCCGGGTTGCTATGCTATCCTTCGCCAAGAACCGATAAAGAACTCATTTATAAATTTTAAATTCATAACTCCCTGAAATCTCTACATTCGTCTTTAATTTTCATTTATATCTCATTCTTTGTTTTTATTCTATTACTAAATGGCACATTGTTTTCTTCCATGATTTGCATGGACTGCAAAAGTCTCAAACTAAGGAGTGTTAAGACGAATTTCACATGGTAGAGAGCTTACAAAATAAGAAAATAAGAAAAATATCGTATCTGGGCCACATACTTCGAAACGGTAAATAATCTCTACGACACGTCATCATGTAAGGAAGAGTAAAGGGAAAAAAGTTTGGGAAGAAAGAAGAACTCTTTGCTGAGGAATATCAAATATTAGACTAACCTCAGTATTGAACTGATATTTTACGTTGCAAAAGATAGAGAAGCGTTTAAAGAAGTGATTGCCAATGGTTTCTTAGAAGACGATAATAAGAAAGAAATATCTTCGTTTCCCCTCAATCTTCTATTTAAGTCACCTAGTATAATAAGATTTGTATCTGTGTTTGTTCTCTATTAGTAGGTAGTTGTTAGGATGTTTTGCACTATAATCGATACTTTTTGGTTAGGAATTTCCAGGTTTTTTAAAATCTTTGGTGATACACTTTTCTATTCTTCAAAAATATAAGACAAAAAGAAGAAAACTTGTTGTTTAATAATAAAAATATGTGTTTACTACCTAAAAGTCACGGTTTCTTTCATCTACTTACGCCATTCATATACAATTGAAATCTTATTTCACAAAATGTAGTATTATTCAGTACGTGATTGTGTTTCTTAACTTAAGAACACGTTTCTGTGAATATGCTAATTAATTAATTTAATTAGCAAAATAAAAACGATAACGGCGATTGGCATGCGTAAAATAATCATTAACAACTTATCGTGACTTATATAATGGCTTATTGGTCCCTATAATTTGTGCAATAAGCTATAATAATGTGTAACTTAATTGGGTAATTGATTTGTTTTCAAATGATGCGAGATTTGTTTTGAAAATGCTTAGAAGAAAATCATATATAATGATGAACGATTAGTAATAAATCTTAGAGGCAGTGTAGGTGGTCGATACTCTATAAAAATACTCCGAGTCCACAATGTCCATCTCTGCCAACAAATACTACTCAAACGCTCTTGCAGACTAAATGCCATATAACCATTGGATCCATAGCTTCCAACGTATGTACGCTATGTGAATCACAAGAGAGGATAAATTTTACAGATAAATCGACTTCTGCTATCATCTACTTATCATAACTATTTGAAGGGGCGTGCTCTACAATCATAGTCCGCACTTAACCAAGAGTTAACAGACAAGAACTGGCCACCTACAATAAGAAGCTCCTTAATGAATAGATAGCAACAAAAAGATGAACATTTTGTAGCACTCATATCCCAATTATTGGCGTTTAAGTTCCAGAGTAAAGCAATACGGGAATACACACGACAACCACTAGATAATGTTTGATGTAAGTAATGTTCTTGTTAGAAGACAAAAATCTACAAGCAGACAGTTAATTGCAACAACTAAAGAGCATTTGGACAATCGGGGAGATACATTGGAGATTTTTGCGTAAGCAAATCAATAAGTAATAATGGACACCTGATTTACGCTACACACTAGAAAATTGTACACCTGGAAATCTCCACAAAATTCTGTGGAAAGGATTAAGAAATCATATTGAATATATGCTAGTAAATAAGAGGTATAAAAGCAGTATAATCTGTCAAAACATGCCCGCAGGCAGACATAAATTCTGATCATTTACCAGTTGTAGCTAATTTTAAAGTCAGAATAGAGAAGGTTACAAGTACCTAACCTAACCTAAAAATAATAGGTACCCTGTATTGGAATCAATCAGCGGTGCTCCCAATAGATGGAGAATATACAGATCAGCTTAAAATCTTAAGGGGAGTAAGACAGGGGTGCATAATTTCACCACTGATATTTAATCTGTACTTAGAGCACATTTTTGAAGAGGCTCTAAGAGATATTGATGAGGGCGTCCCCCTAAATGGAGTCAAGCTCAATAATCTGCGGTATTCAGATAAAACAATAGTATTTATAAAATATGGATCTTAGAGCTACAAAATACAAAACTACGCCTCAGATGTAGAAATAGTTTCTAATAGAACTGCTACTGATTTTGGATACACTTTTAGTTCTCCTTAAAAATAAGTAACACACAAGATAAATGCATTTCTATTTCCTTTTATTTATTTTCTGTCTCAGATATAAATATAACAATATTAATATCAATCACTTACATAAAAATGCAATATTTTTACGATAAAAAAATAAAATTTTTGAGGTATAACTTTAAAGAGGACAACAATTCATAAACGTAATAAATATTTTAAAATGTTTTTTTAACAGTTGGTCGACAAAATCATCTATTCTAACATTCGTTTTCTGAGTAACTGCAGCTCATTATAACCTCGTTCCAGATTGTTCCAGTTGGACAGTCAAATAAGTACGCCTGACCGTTGGCGCATTCGTAATATTGTCTACAATTATCAGGGTTAGCCACAAATGCTCCATTTGCTTTACCTTCGCATACATTAGATGGTGCTAAAACATAAAAAAATAAATGAAATGGCAACCATTCTACCAATTTGTTGGAATAGTGACAAAATCCATTAAAAAACGGTTTCATTTTTTAAAAAAGATGGTGATTTTTCATTATGGTGCCGAAACTTTGACATTGACAGCTACAACTTCTAAAACGCTGCAAATAGCTGAGAGGAAAATGGAAATGTCAATGCTGAGTATATCGCTTCGTGAATGAGTAAGAAATGATGACTTAAGACGAAGAATAGGAGGAGTTACCGATGCAATTTCCCGAATTACCACACTGAAATAAAGCTGTGCCGGACTCGTCGCCTGAATCAGTGATGAAAGGAGGACGAAGAGTGGAGACCGAGGTTGGACAAATAAGTAGAGAAAGACCACCTACTTGTTAGACTGACGATCTCAAGAAAATGTCAAGAAATTGGATGAAAAGTGCTTAAGATAAAGCATAATGAACAATAATGAGAATGGTCTATGTCCAAAATTGGACGCAAAGGGCTGAGAAGTGATGATGGTGATGATGATGATGCTCTTTAATATATATATATATATATATATATATATATATATATATATATATATATATATATATATATATAAAGTTGTTACAAATCTAAACTAATTAACAAAATTATGTACAAATGATACGTACCTACTGTAGTTATAGATGCAGAAGTGGATGTAGTAACAGGAGCATTTGTAGGTTTAGCTAAAATTAAAATGGGAAGAGAGTTAGTCATAGTACAATCGAATACAACAAACATACTACACGAGAATTACTGTAACAAGATCTTTCGTGTACTTCAGCATATTTCTAGCCATGTCGAATATTTCTAGGTTGACAAATAATTCTGTGTGATCTGTAATAATTTTTGGGTCTTAAATATTTAGTACAGCGTGAATTGTTTCAGACCTGTCTGAAAATCTTTCAAAGGTGCTCTGAATGATTTCAGAGCTGCGCCCATAGATCTATGAAGTAGTACTAACCTGTACTTGTAGTTTCGGGCTGTAAAGTCGATACAGGGGCTGCTGTCGTTGAATCTGAAATAATAATAATAGTAAACAACGATATCACAATAATAATATACACACTGCGCGTCAGGATAAAGAGGTCACGACAAAGAGGCCACCTAGAATTTTGTAAGAATTTTTCAGTAAGTTTAAGAGTATACAATTTATTCTATTGTAACTAAATTCCCACAATGCAGAAACACTTTTAGCGTCTTTTAGGAACCGACAAACGGTGCCGGCAGGTCAATTAAGGATAATAAGTTTGCAGAATTGATATCAGTTTTACGACTTCGCATATTGCACGTGTTGTTTGTACCTTATTTTTCTTGGAATGTGGCTATTCCAAGTTTCCATTCCACTCGGTAATGTTTTAAGATTTCATTTGAGGGCGGTACTGATCTCGTATTTATTGACAGAGGAGCGTTGAATGCACACCGATACATTACCGAAATTCTAGACGAGCATGTAATGCCTTTTGCTGGGTGTGTCGGCGAAAACTTTATTTTTATGCGTGACAACGCGTGGCTACACGTAGCCAGGATCGTAACGCAATATCTGGAAACTGTCAGTGTGCCAAAAATGAACTGACCGGTTCAAAGTCCAGATTTAAACCCGAATAAACATGTTTGGAAGAAACAGAATACCTGCTCCAATAAATCGTGATTAGCTTCGGTTGACGCTCAAGGAAGAATGAGAAGATTTTCCTCAAAACGACATCAAGAATTTGATCAATTCAATGCCAAATCGAATAGAGGTGGTTATACACAGTATTAATAATTACAACTTAATCGTAATTTTATAAAGAAAACAGAAAAAATGTACAATATTATTTTTTTTATTTTTCAATAAAATTATTATTTTGAAAGAAGTTATTTTTTGACATATTTTATTTAAAAAATTGTTGCATACTGCTTTAAAACATATTCTTAAACATAACACAAACATCTAATGACAATAACTTTGTAGTATGATTCGTAAAAATTAAAAAATGGCAAAAATTTTAGGTGGCTTCTTTTTCGTGGCAAAAATTTGTATGATTAACTATTATATTTAAATATTAACTGTTTACATCCATATGTCAGTAAAGTGAGCCTTTGCCATTCGAAGATTGCGTTGTTACGTCATGATGTCCCTATTATATCATTGCGAGTTTCGCATTGAAAGACATAACCTGTTATTGTTTTAAAATTATTTTTATCTTAGCGGTGCTTGTCCGCTAAGCGGACATGATAAGTACATGTCTAGATTTTCCGAACTCTTATAATTAATATTAATAGTTTTAATAATTAGACGTTTTGTTACAATTTTTAAAAAAAGTGGATAGATAAGTAGGTATTACAAAACCGTTTTATTAAAGTATACTATCTTGTTTTACTTACCAACTGGTGAAGGTGTCACAGCTGTAACAAAACAATGAAAATATTACTTTTGTAAATGTGAGAATATCAAATCGTGTATGGTAAAACGGCAAAATGTATGGACGTATGTGAAGAAGTGAAGCAACATGTAACCTCCATGAACTATTAAAAAATTGGCCCATGAGTTCAAGCCACAACTTCAAGATATTTAAGACCATAATGGAGAAATAAAAACCGACATAGGGAGCATTGCAGAGACATGGAAATATTACGCAAAAAGCAAGCAATAAAAGAGACAGAACCAATAATTTTACGAGCAGAAGTAGAGAATGCTCTCAACAACCAGCAGAAATTGGCATATACGTAATACTGGATATATATATATATATATATATATATATATATATATATATATATATATATATATATATATATAACATAATATAGATCACATATGAATGGGCTAATGAGTGGTGCGAATTAAATTTTATTACATAATATACCATAACTACTATGTTTCGTATATTACAGAAAGGCTTTATATTCAGTAAAATAGGATCCCCTCTGGAGTATATGTAGAAAATATATTTGTATACTATGGCTCCCTACACTTGTGATACCGACTACATGTTTGAAAAACAAAAAAGGAAGATCTTTAGGTCTGTGATTGATGGAGCAGCTGACAATATTGGATAAGAACTAACAAAGTGCTCGAAGAACTGTATCCAAAGGCTAATATAATGAAATAATTAACGTTCAGTGGCCAGTACACATCAGAAGATATTCTGATCTAAGAATAGTAAATCTGGTATGGAAAGAAGCCCCAACTGGAAGAAGACCACGTAGATCACCTCGATTTCGGTGATGAGATAATATAGCAAAAGACATTAAAGCTATGCGCGTGGAGAATTGGATGAAGATTGGCAGGACAGAGAAGAATGAAGGCATGTTGTCGGGTAAAACTAACGAAGGATTGTAACACCATGGAGTAATAGTAGATGGGGAATTTACTTAGTAACTGTTTATTTTTATTTTTAATGTATTTTTGGTAATTTTTGTTTTAATGTATGACATATATGGGGGTAACTATTCAGTGGTCTATTTTGTTGCACTGATTAATTTGACGAATATCTTGCATTCAATTACTCTTAATAATAAATTAATATCAAAGTTTAAACATATACTCAATACCTACAGCACTCTACATTATCCATGTAATCGCACGAGCCCATCGTTGGATTGAAGTACATATTTTCCGGACAATTCTTTAGTTGTTTCTGACCATTGACACATCTGTAAAACTTACTACAATCGTATGGGTAGATTACATTGGTAGAACCGGTTGTAGGGCAAACTGGATCAGTTGTTGTGGGGTTATCTGAAATGTTATACATATTTTTAAATATTTAAAATGTGAGTAATGAAATCTAGGACAAGAAAAGTATCAGATATTGTAGAAATATAGTGCTGGTCAAGAGTCCGTTTCTCCTCGTATCTTTTGAACGGTTATTGTTATAATAAAATTTGGAGGAGGTAACAAACAGACGTAAGCTTCTCAACTAGTTATAACAGGTGACGTAATAGTGACAGATGACGCTACAGTAGTGCATCCTATCTTTAAACTCTTGTCATACTCGTTCAAATGTGTTGGGGAAAATTGCCCTACATTCTTCAACAATTCGTTGTTTCAAAATGTCAATATGGTCGGGTGTTGTAGCGTAAATTTTAGATTTCAAGTATCCCCATAGAAAAAAATCCAATGGTGTGAGTTCCGGTGACCGAGCTGGCCATTCTATCTTACATTGTCGTCCAATCAATCTACCACGATATTCCTTATCTAGGTAACGTCTTACTGCACCATAGTGGTGTGTAGGAGCACCATCTTGTTAAAACGTTATTTCCAAGTTACCGAACTCATCTGAATTATCCCCCAAAATTTCAAGTAATACCAGTTCAATTGTATTTTGTAACATCTCCAGATGCACTTCCCGGTTAAGTGGGTACTGAAAGAAACAGGCCAAACTATGTGGTTTCCCAAAATACTTGCCCAAACATTTTTTTTTGGACATTGAGTATGTGATTCACGAAAGACGTGAGGATTTGTGTCACTCCAATACCTCACAGTGTGTGTGTTAACATTTCTATTGGGAGAAAAAGTACTTTTGTCGCTAAAAACAAATTGTTTTTATGTAATCGGGCTGTTGGTTTATTTTATTGGAAATATTTTCACAGAATTCTAATCTTCTGTCGGGGTAATCATCCAAAAGTTGGTGCACAATTTTAATTTGTATGGATAAAATTTGTTTCAGCCAACACTCAGCGTACTGTCTTTTGACTGATTTCATAGATAGATGCAACTTGGGATGTAGAAGAAGTAGGGTTCACTACCATTTCTGAAGTTATGTCAATTATTCTGTCTTCACTAATTGTTGGTCGACCAGATCGTTTGACATCTTGAACACTACCTGTTTGTTTAAACTTCCGAAGACGCTTCCTCAAATAAACTCTCGATGTAGGTCGATCGGGGTACTTCTCATTAAAAAGAAGTTTCGCTCCATCGAAATTATTTCCACATTCACGAATTATTAGCACAGTTGCTACTTTTGCGGCTACAATACATACCATTGTGCCTTTGTAAAAATTTAAACGTTTCGTTAAACAATAATTTTATCAAAATATTAACTTCTTCTTCTTCAAGTTCCACTCCTATCGGAGATTGGAAATCATTCTGGCAATTATAATTTTATTGGTTACTCGCCTGAATAGTTCAATTGAACTGCATCCAAACCATTCACGGAGATTGCGTACCCACGAGATTTTACGTCTTCCTACGCTTCTTCTACCTTTGATTTTACCCTGCATTATATTCCTTAGTAGTTCATACTTTTCACCTCTCATGATGTGCCCCAAGTATTCCAATTTCCTGATTTTTATGGAATTTAAAACTTCGCATTGTTTTCCTAGTTGTTCGAGAACTTGTTCGTTTGTTTTGCGATCCATCCATGATATTTTCAAAATACGTCGGTAACACCACATTTCGAATGCTTCTAGGTTTTTAATGTTGGATTTTTTAAGTGTCCAAGCTTCAACTCCATACAAAAGGGTAGAGAAAATATAACATCGAAGCATTCTTATCCGGAGCGATATATTGATATCGCGATTACTAAAAAAGTTTTCTCATTCTATTAAAAGTTGACCGCGCAATTTCAATGCGGCATCTTATTTCTTTTGTCTGATCAGTATATTCTGTGATCCATGCTCCAAAGTATTTGTACGAAGATATTTGTTCAATTTCTGTATTATTTAGTACTAGCTTAACTTTGATGTTTTGTGCTTTTGTAAATACCATGAACTTGATTTTCTTCAAATTGATTTTTAGTCCATAATCGTTGCAATATATATTTAGTTGTTCAGCAAGGTGTTGCAGTTCTTCTAGTGATCCTGCCAGAAGGACGGTGTCGTCAGCATACTCTTATGTTATTAAGTGGCTCACCGTTTATTATAAGGCCCTCACTGCTCTCGGCAAGCGCTAATTCTGAGGCTTCACTGATAAATGATCGGATTACACCTTGGCGGACCCCACGGCGAATCTAGATATCCTTGGTCAGTTCGTTTTCAACTTTCACTTTTGCTGTTTGATTCCAATAGAGGTTACAGATGATTCTAATGTCTCTACTGTCTATGTTTTTATTTAATAAAATTTCTTTAAGTCGATTATGCTGCACTCTGTCAAATGCCTTCTCAAAATCAATGAAACAGGCATATACTTCCTGATTAATATCTAAGCATCTCTGCGAAAGAACACCTACTGCAAACAGTGCATCTCGTGTTCCCAGTCCTTTCCTAAATCCCATTTGTGTATTAGTTATGCCTTCATCTAATTTCTTATGTATTCTATTGTGAATTACTTTTAAAAACAATTTCAAGACATGACTCATTAAGGCTATGGTGCGATGTTCATTGCACTCCTTTGTATTGGCTTTTTGGGGAAGCAGTATGAATGTTGATTGGAGCCATTCTTTAGGTATTATACCTGTTCTATATATGGTATTGAATAGATCCAAAAGAAGATCAATAGATTCAGTATTCACAATTTTAAGTAATTCGATAGGAACTTCATCAGGCCCGGGAGATTTACCACCTTTAGCTTGTTTCATTGCATATTCAATTTCTTCTCGTATAATGTCAGGTCCAGTATCATCCTTAAATTCTTTTGGTGCTTCTGTTCTCTCTTTGTCTTCAAATAGTTGTGCTATATATTGTGTCCATCTCTGCATTTTTTGGTTTATATCTGTTATAAGTGCACCCCTTAGTCTTAGTTGCTTAGTTTAAAGTGTTTTTCTCATTCCTGTTAATTCTCTAATTAAATATTAACTAAGAACAACTAACTAAAAACAACTTGACTAAACTTAAATTGACTATATTAAGCAGAAACATAAACTAAATATTCAGTTATAAATGCATTTGCAAACTAAAAAAAAATAACTAGAGAATTGAGTAATCTAAGCAGAAACAGAAACTAAATATTGAGCAATAAATGCTAGACGATTGACAAACGTCAACTTTTTTGACAGATTACCAAAGGCATACGTTACAATTTTTATTAATTAAATGCCAAACTAGAATTTTAGTATTTATTTAATTTACTCGTCAAAATCATCATTTTTGTCTATAAGACACTCTGATCAAAAGATATCAACATTTTACCGTCGAATTAATACAAATTTTATTTAAAAAATTTTCATGTTCATAACTGGCATTCTAAACAGCCAGGCGCTTCAAGCTTTTTTTCTGAGAGAACAGTTGATTCTATAAAAATGTGCTAATAAACATTTTTGTTTAAAATGAACAGATTCTTGGCGTTGTGGGAGGGGTAAACTTTTTGCATCTTTTTTTGGGTCCCAAAATTGACATTCTTAGCTAAATTCAGTTTGTTAGTATGAATTTTAAAAGTCAAATTTCTGATGACTGGACTAAAGATACATTTCGTGTACCTACATAAAAATCATATAGCTGTACATACATGACCAAAAATGATTGATGAAATTCGCAGATAACGTTAGCCAATAAAATACGTTACGTAATAAAATATTACGTGGCAGTTTTGATGATATTCTACATAATAAAAGCGAATTTATTTGACGGATTAACAGTTGTATTGTGGATTCATATTATAATACAAGTATAAAACATTTTCTATTCAATAATTACTGAATGCAACATTATTAATAAAACAGAACATTTTATTTCTTTACTTACCTGGAACGACAGTTGTGTAGGTGGGAATAGCGGTAGTGGCTGCAAAATAATAAATTTATTTTGTTAATTTAATTACAAATCTGTAATCTGCTTAATCTAAGAAATGCAAGAGGTTAAAGATTAACGAAAAATTACATTGCCAAATTCTAATTAAGTACTGAAGTTCCAAATGTAAATATAAATTGACATTTGCGAAACTGAATTCATTCATATTGTCCATATTGGCACAATACCTACTTTGATTAATAGTAATGTTATATTTTATAGAATATAATAGTTATTCTCATAAAATGAGAATAACTAATAAATAACTAATAAATAAAATAATAAATAATAGTAAAAGCACATTTTTGTGACTATTTCCTTGGTATTCAGTAAGTGTTATTTTTTTCATCGCTCTGGATAACATACAATTTTTATTTTCACGCTATATGCTTAAAGGAATTTCCTTTCTTTCTTTTCTTTCCTTTCCAATTTCATCGATGTTAAATAGTTATCTACCATAACATTTTCCCATTATCTTTATGCGTAGATGATCAGTACCAGTATAAGAATTGAAGTTTTTGATAGTCCACGTCGAGGCATTTTTACAGTCGTCTTTAATTCTCACAAACCTAGTAGTGTTTCAATATTTCAGAAACAAGAATCAGCAGAATCTAATAAATAAACGTTTCTTGGCTTATTTCAGATGCCCCTGAAGATGCTCTAGGAAGCGAAAGTACTTATCGATATCTGCTTTTCATTTTATCAAAGTTTATAAGTATTTAAACTGATTATTTGTTAATTGTTGTATTCTACAATTAATATTCCGAGACATTAAAAGTGTAATATATTGTAAGTGCAATAATTTTTGCTGATTTTTAAAAAATTTTGAACCGAATAATTACAAAAGCTATTCCACATAATAATAATATAATCAAAAAACCAATAAATAACAAGAACCATAAAATCAGTTATATTGAAGTTTTAAATTTCACAAAAGATGAATATAAATAAAGATTGAAATTACCAAAAACTGAAGACTTTTATTAACTAATGGTATTCAACTTGAATAATAATTATTCTTAAAGTAACTTGCATAAGAAATAAATCTTACATTTTTTTGTATTACTGAACAAATTTATTAGTATTTTAGGGGTCAATGTTAATTAATTTAATGATTTTTATCATGCGTTTATTTAAATCTTAAAATATTTCTTTCCTAATAGTGTTTTTCGCAAAGATTTTCTGCTGGTGACATTTTAGATGTAGGAACTTTAGACTCCAAGTATTTTTAAAATAATTAATTATACTTACGGGTAATTGGCGCTGCAGTGGATGATGGCACGGACTCTAAAAGACAAAATATGAGGTAATGTATAAAGGTTATATGCTTATAAATAAGAAATAAAATACAAAACAAAAATTATTACTTACTACAGTCCACACTATCCATATAGTCACACTCAAGAGTTTGGGGGTTAAAGTACAAATTTTCTGGACAGTTCTTCAACGACTTCTTTCCGTTGTTACATTCATAATACTTGCTGCAATCGTCTGGGTAAACGAATTTTGAAATTCCTGACGATGCTGGGCAGGTTGGATCAACTGGACCTGTACGATGCAACAAAAAATTTTAAATCGATATTATAAAGGTACAAATGTGTGAGTAATTAAAATCATATAGTTAAGTCAGGTTTTATTATTTAATAAAGAAGTTGCCCTAAATATTATAAAAACTATCGAAAACCTTTACCAAAACAACAAAATGGAAGTCAGAAGAGATGATAACTTACAGAAACTATAGAAATATTCAAGGGGATTCATTGAGCCTCATACTCTTTAATTTGATCATGCATGAAATCATCAAAAGCGTTAACAATGGAAGAGGATACAGAATGGGAAACAAAGAAATAAAAATATCTCTTTTACGCAGACAACGCAATATTGATAGCTCAATATGAAGATAGACTACAAAGACTGCTCCACAAGATTTAACATATGAGCAAAAGAGTTAAATATGACGAAGTAAAGACATTAGAAGAAAATGTAGAAATTAGAAGAAAACATAAATGAATAAACAAAAAATAGAAAAAAAAGAATGGAATAAGCTCATAAGCAGAATGGAGGAGACCTGTGACGTCAAAATAGCAAGAGATCGGCAAGTCACCAATCGGCAGAAGAAGTATCGGACGACCGCGCGAAAGATGAAATGACAATCTTCCATAGAGGTATTAATCCGCCAATGAACAAGCAGAATTGCTTATTAAGAGGGAAAAGAAGAAGTCAGACATTCGTTCTCTTTGATAAATACAAACTCGAGTATTCAGTATGCTTAGTTTAAGTAAAGTTGTATCATTAGTGTCTACCAAAAAAAACCCTCTGGTACTGTTGGATAGTACAGAGAAAAAACAAAGGTTATGCAAAATAATCAAAGATTAAAAGGTTGTAAAGAAGCGCGAAATTATAACAACAAGTAAGTAAGTAAAAATGAGGAAAAAACCCAAAATAAGCAGGAAGAAAAAACAGAAAAACTTGGAAATAGAACCCAATAGAAGGAATTAAATTACTAATCAAATTAAAATGAATATATTTGAGGTTAAAATATAAAATACGTTAGTAGAAGAGAGTGTCAATCGGAAAATAGGATATAGTAAGTACTTTTGAAATAAATTCATTAAAACACGTAGTGAGGCTAAGAAAACAATATAATTTAAATTTGTTGGCAATCGAAGAAACGAAGCAAAAACAGCGTAACGATGGTAGATGGATTCAATGTTCTGAGTGATGGTGATTCTAGTGAGTAATATATAATTGATTTTGAAGCCACTTCTGAAAGAAATAATCACTCTATGATCGACTAAGCTCATAGAATTATTTAATAGAAACAGATCATTAAGATATATGTCAATTTTTATAATATTTTACAAGCATTTGACAGTACATTGAATCCTGGAATTTAGAAACTAACTAAATTACTTCTGAAACAATTTGTAGATATTTTTAAATCATATCTACCTGAAATAGAACACAATTAAATAGAAAAAACACGTTAACAGTTATTAATTTGAGATCTAGGGGTTACTGTAAGACCCCTAAGGGAGACAAATTCCAAGAAATAGAGAAAAGAACTTCGGATGAAAGGAAAACGCTTTATAGTTTTGAAAGAAGGCGTACTGATGAAGATATACGTAGAATTTAAATAGATTTATCGGAAGTGGAAAATAATCAAGATCGTTTAAACAAAAAGACACGGGAAAACAGTTAAAAATCTAGATGAAAGGTAGGTAACAATACGTTTCTGAAAGTGAAGCGAAAAAAAAAGAGTACGATTAGGAAACGGTCCAAAAAGACTGGTGGTGTAAAGATGAACAAAAAAGAGTTACAAATTGGAAGACGACTGCCATGAAAGAAAAAATAGATAACACTAGTGGACAAATTTTAGCTATGGATCCCTGAGACCTGGAATGCTATTCTAATATTTTATTTTATTACATTTTTAATTCAGAAGAAATCGACTTACCAGTGGTAGTTGTGGTTGCAGTTGAAGCCCGCGTACTTTCTGGAATATAAAAGTATTCATTTGGATATGTTTTATCGTATAATAAGACTAGAATATAATTAGTATGTCTTTGTCCTACGCAAATTAAAGAAAAATGGCTGATATAAGTTTTTTTTAACATGAAGTACAATGGATAGGATAAGAAGCTGCAAATGTCCCATTAATCGATACTATTAGGAGGAGTGGGACAGGATGTAATAAATATTATTTTTTCAAAATGATAGAAACTTTCCTTTATTTTACGTTAAGAATTTCTAGGTCATCATCTATATGTTGATATAGAATTTTTACTTCCTCGGACGTAGATACAAATCTTCACAAGCTCTTTTTCTTATTAGATAGATTACGAAAGGCTGCAGTTGGTTTACCAAACTTTTTCTTTTCTCTCTCAAGAGTTAATCTTTATGTTTTCTCTGGTGTACTAGTAAAAATATGACTTTTGCCTTTCTTTCCTTATTTTTTAAGTTTCTTCGCATTGCGCAGCTTTAGGAAAAGATCCGATTTGTTCAGGTGTACTCAGGATTTTCGTTGGCATTGTAGGTTCTTAAGTGACGTTAGGTTCTTGGTTTTTCAAAAGATGTAAAAGGAACTTTTAAATAATGATGTGAAATAGATGTATGCTCAATTACTGGATATTCTTGCTGAGCCAGAAGTATCAGTAGCTTTTGTAGATAGAGGAGTCTTCAGATACTGAAGACATTCGAAATTCTGCTTCGGTAAATGGCTCACAGTAAAAAGTGTAGATATCAGTCTTTTAAAAACCAGAAATAATGTTCTTCTGCGTAACAGCCAAAAGCAAGCTTGTCCACAAGATCACTATCTAGTAGATGGCCACGGTTGTGTCTGTGTGATTCATCAGCCAATCATTAAAAACTCTGTGTTATTGACTTTTAAATTGGTCAAACGCCAATACATCGAAGGGCTGAGGTCTGTAGCTACAATGCGCATTTGCTGTTATTATTACTTCTAAACCACATGGCATAAACATCCAACCTGTTTTGTTTGCCAACCTTGCTATTTAATGCAAGTCTTTCTGGAGCTGCACCTTTCACATAAACTGCTTATATCAAATTCTGGGAAACACAAGTCCTAGTGGCAAATCGTTCCCTATTGTCTTTAAATAAAAACTTAGTCGCAACGTTGGGTGGAATTTAATGTATTTATTATTTCTGTTTCGTCAGAATTAAATATACGATATTGGGCGATATTATAATATTCATAGAGAGTTTTTATATTATTTAGAATCATGTCATCATTTGTTTTCTTGAAGTTTGTTGTCCTTTCCAAACTTGTGGATTCTGGAAATTGGTTCTGGAAAGGTTCCATGAAAGCTTTGAACCTGTGATATCCTGCTATTTGAATAAATTTTTATAAATTGTCTTATTCACATTTACATGCTAGCCACGCTAGAATTCTGACCTGAAGTAATGTTAAATCAAAATGTATTCTACTTGCAACACGGGTGTATTCTACCAAAGCCAATGCTTGCTCTTTGGACTATACCATACCACATGTCAAATAAGTACAAAAACCAAATTTCATTACATAGCGTTGAAGAGCAGATTTTGAAATACGATATGTCTTTGCCACCTGCCTTAAGCTGTTCCTCTGTTTAATCTGTTGTATAACCTCCACAATGCAAGATTTTAATGAAGGGTTATTCTACTTTCACTTATAAGGCATCTTACAGTATAACAGGGCGAAAATTTACTATTCTATTTAATTCTTACTACTACTAAGAGGCTCCCAGATAATGTCCCAGATCTCCTACTCATGCTATATCCCATTTCTACCAGTGGAGCAATACATCAGTTAACAAACGTAACCTCAAGCTGCCCCAGAGTTTTATATTGCATAATTTACAAACTTTAATCAAGTCCTATTATTATATTTGTTCTTGTAATGATTTGAAATGTTATAACAATCAGAAAAATTAATTTATAAAGTTAAACTCTTATCTTTCAAGGATGAAAGTCGATAATTTTCTCTATTAATCACAACAGATGTGCTTCTCCAGAACCAAACGAATAGAAAATGCTACAAGCAGTACTACTTCTGGTAAGAAAGTATAAAACGGATAATTCACATATAAAGGTGGAGAACTTAAATGTGTCGCACCTCCTTTGTCCCACACCTGCCACTTTTACCCTTAATTATGCTTAATTAATGAACATTTAAGTTAAACTAACCTGTCGCTGGATTTGTTGCGCGTGATGGTACAGCCTCTGAAATAATAATGTAATGTATTATACAAATATATTAACTCTGTAGACTACTTGAATCAGCAAGCAATTATTGTGTAAGACTTTTTTATTATCAACCATGGTTATTTAAGGATATCTATTGATGTTGCTGTTGGCGTTGCTGGTTATGACAATAGAGGTTTTTTACTGGAAATATTTTAGTTTTATTTAAGGCATTAGACATTTTCGACTACTTAATTTTACTGAAGAAATTAAAAGGTATGATTTACCCCCACAAGGCAGAACTTAGCAATGACAACAAAACGAAAATTAAAATCGATAATGGAATAACGAAATCTGGCAGAAGATGATTTGGTTAGGAATATAAAACAATCTTTTACAAACTTTTTAGTATGTCAGAATCGTAAACAACGGAAGATCAAGCCAACTTGACTGGATCTCTCATAAAACAAAAATAAATGCTGCGTAATTAGTAAACCATCTATGATCAAAACAGAAACCAAAATTCAAATATTGTTAGTAATCAGAGCTGAAAATAAGGTTTTTTTATATAATACGAAATATCTGTGTAGCATCACCAGGTCCAACTGCAGGCACTATACTTAGCATTTAAAAATAAAAGGCATGTTAAAAAATAAGGTAATCCGATATATTAATTGTAAAATGGTAAGCTAAATTTAAATAATATGATGAAAGGTACTATAATAACTACTCCATCAACAAAAACTGATATCACTGATGGCATTATAGCATTGAAGAATTTCAAAGCAATGTTTTTAAACTTACGGCAGTCTACATTATCCATATAATCACATTGAAGCGTTTCAGGGTTGAAATACATATTCTCTGGGCAATTCTTTAGTGATTTAGTTCCTTGGTTGCACTCGTAGTATTTGCTGCAATCTTCGGGGTAAACAAATTTTGTAATTCCTGACGAGGCTGGACAAGTTGGATCTATTGGACCTACAAAATGTAACATAAAATATAAAAACAAGGTTCTAAAATATATACAAACAAATATACTAATGTTTTGATACATTTGATTTACCTATTGTAGTTGTAGTTACTGTTGAAGCCCGAGTACTTTCTGAAGAAAAAAAATATTTTGTTAATTCCATTTATGTTTATATATATATATATATATATATTATATATATATATATATATATATATATATATATATATATCTTGTAATGTTTTACATTAGGTTTTGATCACTAATTAACTATACATAATAAGTTTTACTTGCCTGTGGCTGGATTTGTTTGTCTTGTTGGTATGGCCTCTAAAATAAATTATTATATATTAGGCAAAGGATATGCTATAAATGTTGGATTCAACGAATCGGAAATCAACCCACATAACTTTTAATTTACGACAAGGAACACCACCACCTATATTAAGGAAATACCCAGAACTAAAATACCAAATAACTTGGGCTACACCTGGACCAAATCTTGTATTGGAAGAAACACATTAGCAAAAAAGAAAATAACTACAACTAAGATAAAAATAAAACAATTGATTAATTGAAAAACCCTCTAAGCTGTCAATGAATAATAAAATGTTAATTTATAAAACATTTATTAATCCAATATTATAGCTTTTTAAATTTGTTAATATTAATATCTACATAATAATATAAATTCTGTTTTAAATTTTGTAGTACGCCCCTGGTTTTTATGCATTTGTCTCTTATGAGAAATTTTAAAACGATCAATATATTATGGCATTTTAAGTTGAGATTCTTAAATACGTAACACCGCTGGAATTTTTTTAAGGTTGTTTGACGAAATAAGCAAAAATATAGATGTTTTATCTTGTGTTTACAAACGAGTCCCCTAATATTCCGGTTGAAAAAAAGATGTTTTGTTGTCGGTTCGTTGTTAGGAACGAGTATCGAGGGGTAATATAACGTTACAATATGAACATAAGGCATAGAGCTATGGGGATGTAGAAGTGAATCTAATATTGTTATAATGGAAAAATGTCAATCAAACATTTTAAGAGCAATTGTTGATGCACCATGGTACGTAACCAACCAAAGAACCTATGAGAATCTCAACATTCTAACAGTAAAAGAAGTAATCCAGCAAAATAAATCACAATACATTCAAATACTGACCACACATTCCAAACCTTTACTTTTTGCAATATCTCAACACCTTCACATTGGAAAAAACCCATCATGACAAATTTAAATCAATACTGTGGTACTTACGGCAATCTACGTTATCCATATAATCACATTGAAGCGTTTCAGGATTGAAATACATATTTTCTGGACAGCTCTTTAGTGATTTAGTTCCTTGGTTGCACTCATAGTATTTGCTGCAGTCATCGGGGTCGACGATTTTTATTATACCTGATGATGCTGGACAAGTGGGATCTATGGGACCTAAACATTAAACATATTACACATTACACATATTACAAAAATTCTCGTACACTTTATAGTCAGAGGAAATCTACTTGCCTGTGGTAGTTGGAGCTACTGTTGGAGTGCTTGCTAAAATAAGAAATTATATCTATTAATTCTCATATTCTAAACAAGTATGGGTAGTAATAATCAAGAAATAATAAGAAGCACTGTCTGGTGATCTGAACCTGTGTAAAGATTAAAATTTTCTGTTTATAATTGCGTCAAGCTCACCGCTATCTTCTTTGTTCTCTTGTTCTCTTCTTCTTCTCAGTCTTGTTAATTTTAAATATTCTGTAAACTATTCGATGAATCAAGAATTTAGCGATACTGAAGAGCAAAGCTTAATTAGGTGTATCCAAAATATCGCTAAAATGCAATACGGTCTGACAAAAAAAAAACGTTCATAAACGTTTTGGGCCAATTCCACCGCAATGGATTAGGCCAACCAAAACAGTCGGACCTAAGAGGATGAAACAAATCGGTAGTGCAACATCTACTGGATAAGACTGAATAAGGGCAGCTGATATCGATGATAGTAGTAGTTATTGCAATAGAGAGTGCAGTTTCACTGTTATTAGTTTTCCTAAAGTGCATTACAAGGTCAGAATAATTTTTGGAGGGCCTCCCATAGGTACTGGGCTGTCTCTGTAACTAGATGGTCAACCGAGAAAACTTGTTTAAAATGTTTTGATCACTTTCTGACCAGTTGCCCTAAAGAAAAAAGATGCTTACTTGTTTTTGACAATCATGAAACACATCTTTCTCCAGAAGCCTTATACAAAGCATCTAATGCATGAGTAGTGATGATTACGTTTTCTCGCCACAGCAGCTATAATCTATAGCTACTGGATCTTTCAGTCTATTCACCTCTACAAACCTAATACAAAAAAACGATTAAGACGTAGTTGATCAATAATGCAGGAAAACATTCGATGTATACACAGTTGCTGACGCTCTTGAAACGTCTTACCCTGGGCCACCTTCGGCTTAAGCCCAGCAATATTACTTCTGGATTTTGTAAATTTGAAATCTACACCTTTAACGAAGGGGTGTTTTTAGATGACAATTTCTTAGCTTACTATGTCACTGATCGCTTGACAACCTCTTTCCTTCCAGCTTCAGTAGAAACCACATCATAAGTAGGGACTTTAAGTAAAACAGAAAATTCTATTACTTCTTCTACAATGCGTTTAGGTAATATATTCCAGCTGTCTATTACTATTGCAGGACCTTCAGGTGAAGAGCCTACCCACTACATATGTCTTTTTGTTTTTTTTTTTCTATATATAGGCATTTCTTCCCTATGCCATATAATTTTTAAGATTTCATGTCATTCTTAATCTAATTTTTCTTTACCTTATTCAGTTAATTTATTATTTTAGTTTATTTAATTTTTTCGGACACTTACCGTTGTTTAAATATTTTATTTTTTATTTCTTTTAAAGATGCTAAATTGGTGTTCATTTCGTTCTTTATATTTTCTTCGGTATAATACTCATATATCCATATCTAGTACTCTCCTCTCATCTGTTTACATTCTTCTCTTAGTCTCAAAAACAATTCTATTACAGCTGGTGTATACCTACATAAAACACGTTAAAACGCAAGAAAAACGGTTAATAATTTTTGTTTAGCGTAAGGGTAAGTCCGAACCTGGTTCGCGGAATATACGTTTTCACCAAAACGTTTTCAACCTGTTGTAGGCAACAGATAATACATGTAGGTGTATTACTGGTAACAAACAATTCAGGAACTTTCATTCTAGGTAAAGAAATTTTATATTTAAAACGGAAATTATAATAATACACACAGAATAACGTTTAATATACTTTGTAATAAAAACAATATAAAATCTAGCCCAATAGTTTTGCAGAAATCGATGAAAAGTTTATTAAACTCTCCATTTTAGAAATTATTGCTATTTTTTAGCTTTTCTATTTAAGTACATTTATAATAAATCATTCATTTATTCAATACCTAATTAATTAATACTTTTAATAAAAGATATTTACTTACGTGACCTAGTTGCAGGTGATGATTCGGTAGCTAAAAAGTACTTATCTTTAGTCAAGTTTTAAATATTCTAAAAAAACATTTTAAAATATCGTTTTAATCAAGTTAGAAAATGCTAACAAACAGAAGAAATACTACAACAAACTGCTAAAAGTTGTTCTCGATTTCTGGAAAAAATAACAGAGAAACAAGAAATTTCTGCAGAGAATCAAGTAGAAAGGTAGAAATAACCCTGGCTGAAAATAAAAAGGAAATAAGTAATGAAAATCTCATAAAAAGGACACTACATATTACTAAACAACTACAGTCCAATAGGCCTGCTATCGGCTTTTGCTTTTGATACTACATATTATTTGGATCAGTTCAGATTTATCAACTGGTCTTATGAGGAATGAATTCGAGAACTTTTTTGAATTGGGGAGATATCAAATAGGATCTTGTTGTGGCAAAATAGTTGATGTTATATTTTTACTCACATTAACGAAGTATTCATTTAGATTTTAATCGTTTCTTTTGCAATATTGTTGGAGCTTCCCAGACGATTTGAACAGTAAATTGTTTTAACTGTTTTTATAAGTTTTAGATAGGTTTCTCTGTACTTGGAGATATATTCAGTGACAAAGACGAGGGTATTTAATTTCTTGTTGTACAGTAGTGAACGCATGTTCTTGGCTGATATGCAGCGACCTTTGGTAGTCCACGGTTTGTGATGTTTTGAGTTAATTGTAATTAAAAGAAATGCCTTTTTGAAAATACTAACAAGTCTATCTAGAAAATAAAAAAAGAGGTTAATCTTCGTAAATGGGTATATTTAAAAAAACCCTTAAAAGGGCTACATAAAAAAAAAACAAACGTTTTCGGAATAAACATTCCGTCATCAGGTTTAAAAATGCTAGGTTAAAATGCCTGAGCCACCAAAATATCAGGGTAAAAACCCGTTAAATTACATGTAGTTGTAAAATATTGTATGTTGTTATAAATCTGTGATGTTAAATATAACATTTACGAAGATTAACCTCTTTTTTTGTGATACGTGGTATACAGCCAGCTACAGGAATTGTTTTCTTTGTGGATTTTATCTAGAAAATCACTGAAATTATAGTATACGCCCAAAGAGAGAAATTGCCACCCAGAAGTCAAGCACAAATTTTGGAATTTACGAAAATTCTGAACGGAAAAAAATCCTAAAGCGTTGGGTTTTCGATGATAGTTTGTTAAGAGTGTTAAACTTGGTATATACTGCTTCATGGTAATATAGTTCTGCATTAATAATTATAGAGCGTACAGGGGTGAGAAAACTGAGATAATATAATCAATTATGGTAAATTTTGTGTTCGTTCTGTTGTAATTCTTGTAGGAGAACTAACGATAGGACTAGGCATGATAGATACATTAAAATCATACAGGAGAAAGATGGAACGGAAATTCATAAAATGGTTACCTTGGGATGAAAATAGGAAAAAATGGAGGCACATATCGATATGGTCCTATGACCTTAAAGAGAGAGGGGCAAAATGTGGCTTAGAATAGTCACAAGCGAAAGGAATAAAAGTAGTTAAGGTCTCTATTAATTTTGGACCCTAACAGGCTAAAGAAAAATGAAATTGTTTATTAACTTATATTTATTTGTTATAAGTATGTAACTTACCAACTGAAGGAATCGTTGGAGCTGGTACAGAGCCTAAAATCAAAATTTGTAATATTAATAAGACATTTAGAAATTATAAGATTCTTTTAGCAGTATTTATGTTTAGTTACCTTTAAAATGCAGGTCAATACTATTTAAGATATAATTTTAACAAAAGAAGAATATACAATAAAAATATTTAAAAAAATTCTTCTTACCACAATCCACATTGTCCATGTAGTCGCATCCACTTGTTTTGGAATTAAAGTACATATTTTCAGGGCAATTTTTTAATTGTTTCTTTCCATCTACACACCTATAGAATTTGCTGCAGTCTTCAGAATACACCACGTTAGAAGTTCCTTGTGCCGAGGGACATAATGGATCCTTAGTATTATCATCTAAAACGATACATTCAACTAGAATATTTGTAGACTTTTGTAAAATAAGCTAAAACTAGCTTAGAACTCTAAAGCTAGTTAAAAAAATAATCATACTCCAGTCTTCAGAGACGAAAATGCCGTTGAACCTCTAAAAATCGTACGAACAAGGTGAATTTTGCCGAGTAAAAAGTTTACCATTTTTTACCCTAGAGCTTTCTTTTAACACCCCCCTCGTAGTGGGGGGGGATCGATTTATGAAGAATCTGTACGCCATAGAAAATATATTTCTAATAAAAATGTCGCTTTTTGTAATTTGAAATGTGCTTAAAAAACGCTAAATTTCAACTTTTATATTAGAAACGATCTAAAACATTTAAAACTACTGTTTTTTAATTAGACTAGTACGTTTTTAAAACTACCCATCTTCTGCTACAAATTACACTCAAAACCATCTTCTTGGATGCATTTTCCTTGACGTGCGATCATTTGTAATGTAAAAGTTTAAATTTTGCGTGTTTTAGTCACATTTCAACTTCACTTTTAAAATGCATTTTACTTTTTGTCGAAAGAATACTCTGATAAAAAAATATCGAATTTTTACCGTCGACACACATTTTATTTAACATTGATTTTGTGCGAGCATGTGACATTCAAAATCGCCGGTCGATTCAGGCGTTGTTTCTGACTGGTTCATTCTACAGAAAAAAATGCTTATTAAAATTTTTGTTCATCTAAGCTACAATTTTGATTTAAAACATTTTTTTCTATTCCGTAGAGGTTCTTTATAAATCGATTTTTTGGAGTTTTTACCCTTCTACAAGGGGGGTTTTAGGAAAAATCCTAGAGGTAAAAGTGGCAAACTTTCTTACATCTTTTTTTGGAGGTCACAAAATTAATATTTTTCGCAAAATTCAGCTTGTTCATATGATTTTAGGAGCCAAATCTCTGAGGACTAGACTATCAGGAATAATAAGAATCTACTTACTGCAATTAACATATTCTGCAACATCGCAGTAATTAGTATCCGTATTAAAAAGGAGTCCTGGGGGACACACAAGCTGATATTGGTGCCCCCTAATACATTCGTAATATATGCTGCATTTGATGTATCTGGGATGTATGTAGGTGTGGCAGAATTGGGACACTCTTGAGTTTCGGCAAAAACTCCAACTAAAAAATTGTTTGAAAAAGGATCAATGTTTTAAATTTCTTCATGTTTTATGTGTTATTGTTTATATTTATAGATGGAACAAACAGTTTTTATAAAAAAAAGGCGCAAGATGATTATGACGTTCGCAAAAGAAAAGAAGTTGTTACAAAGTTATATCTAATCATTTTTACTGACTGCTCCGAATATTTTGCGCAATACCTGTCTTTCAAAAATCGATTTATTTATTGATCTTAAGAAAGCATACAATAAAATTCTTAAAATGGTGGCCGCCACAATAAGAAAGGAGATATGCATGTATGTAATTAGAAAAGCAGCCCATAAAGGTAAACAAAATTATAATGATGACAGCGATGAATTTGATAGGAATCTTGTAAATAGTTCTTCAAACGTTTTCATATTCATGATTGCGAATATGAAGCATACTAACCTGCCAAAAATAAAAGACTTAATGTCATCATTTTACTAGTTAACCTGAAAAAGGGATAAAATGATCAGTAATTTTGTTTGTATATGTATAATTTCATTGATAAAATTCGTAAAAAACAATATTCTAGGTGTAGTTTGTGATTGTAAAGGTATAAAAGGCATGGTATTTTAAGTAACTTCCAAAACAAACCAATGAATTTATACCACTATATTCTTATCATTGAACTTATAATTTAACTATTTTTGTATTTCTCACTCTATATATTAACATAATTATTTAGTAAAATATGGAAACAGATTGGTCATACTGTATTGCGTCAGGGTTTTGCTAGTTAGTTAACGATCCAATGACACCTAGAAACCCAAAAACGTGTTGACTGGTCGCCAGGAAAGAGAGGCAAAGCATTATCCTTCGAGAAGAAGGTTACACAGATCAAGAAATAGCAAAACAATTGGGTGGTGGCGCCACAAAATCAGGTGTCAAACACTCAAACGACAAAATCACATAAAATCAAAGATTTAGTCAATAGAATGAGCGTAGAATATGCCGACTTTCTTTAGAAGATCGTCGCAAATTCGCAATGGCAATTAATGCTATTGTCAAATCAACTGGCCTATAAATATCGGAGCTTATAGAACTCTTAAAAAAAGCCGTTTTTGAACAAAAAACAGAGGCAAAACCATTATTGGCTTTGGCATAAGGATGGACAGAAAACGCGGAGTAAGGTAATTTGGAGTGTTGAAACCAGAATCTCGATCTTTGGGAGTGACGGAGTGAAGTTTGTTCTCCGCCGACCGGGTGAAGCCCTTTTACCCCAATGTACTACGGTCACTAAAAAGGATCCTGTGCATTCTGTCCTATGCATTCGTAGATTTAACAGCAGCCTATGACGCAGTAAGGCACAAAACATTGCTCCGCAAATTATACGACACTCTCAATGACCACCATCTGGGTAAGGCCGTATATTCCTTACTGCAAAACAGACGTTTTTTCGTTATGTTAGAGGGTAAATTCAGTATGTGGAGAGTTAAAAAAAATGGCTTCCCACAGATAAGTGTTTTAGCACCAATGCCTCTTCAATATATACACAAACGACCAACCTACGCCGACCGAAACCAAGCATTTCGAAACAAACTCAACTGGAGGAAAAAAGTGGAGGACAAACTCGAATCTGCCGTAAAATCAATGACAGCGTACTCCCTGCAGAATTCCCTGAGACACAATCCCTCTAAAACCCAAGTCTGCGCTTTCCACCTTCGCGTAAGGGAAGCCAAACGAAAACTCAACACACAAACCAAGCTATATATGTTGGAGTAACTCTGGACCGGTCCCTCACCTACAGGCAACATTGCATAAAAACGAGAGAGAAAGAAACAACTAGGAACAGCATACTCAGGCATAGGCACTGTGTTTCTCAACTACTGAATATGCGTGCCCCGTTTGGAGCAGATACTAGTTTGTCTAGCGCCTATATACTAACAGAGTAAATACCTGTAAAAGCGAGAAAGATGCTTCAAATTTGTCAGTTGCATTAAAAACTTCTGGTAAAATGTCGGGCTTCTGATGAAGATATAATGCCTTTGGATTCTATTTTGACAGAACTGAGAAGGAAGGTAAAATTGGTACACATTCTCTTAATCGCGAAAGAATAATTTATAGAGAGTATCATATTTTCTCATTTTCATACACAAAATGACGACTTAAAGAATGTACTGGAAAGTTTGTCATAGGGCAGAAAAACGAAGAGGAGACCGTTTAATCGAATTTGCTATCACAAACAACTACTCTATCATGAATACTCGATTTAAACACATGTACGTCGACTTTATACTTTATACTCCAGTACGTCGACTTTTACTCCAGACAAAAGTCCTGGAGATAGATTTAGAAATCAAATAGATTACGTTCTCACCAATATTCGCTGGAGATCGTCCATTCAAACAGTCAGATCATATCCAGGGGCGATATGCGGATCCGATCATACTCTTCTCGTAGCTAAAGTAATGCTTAAACTTAAAGCACCCAACAAACAAAGAGAGATAAAGAGGATGGAACTAAGAAAAAAAGACGATCTTCTACAGGAAGTACAGAAAAGTATGCCCTCTATTCGTAACGAAACATCACAAGAAATATGGGAGACTGTTTAAACATTGCGTAACAACACCAGTGGATCGCTCAAGAAAAATAATCCGGTGTGAAACGGAAACACTGGATAACAGATGAAACTCTTAAAATAATTGAGAATAAAAGAAATCTTTGTAAAAGTGGTGTACATAGTGAAAGGGAAAAAGCTAGCTTAAGAAACCTCAATAAAGAAATAAAACGAAGATGTAAGGCCGACAAAAACAGTACTATAAAAGTATATGCAAAGAAATTGAGAGACATGGTCAGAATAATCAGCCGAGAGATCTATTTAGAAAAATACGCTACCTGACAAGAGACTTCAGAGCCAGAACTTTGGGTCATTGAAGATAACACTGGAACCCTGAGAACAAACAGAGAAGACATAGCAGATACATGGAGATCGTATTGCAGGGACCTATATAAACATGATCATTGCCAAGAGCTTGTTAGCCAAATCTCTGACGAGGTGGAAGAAGAACCTGATATACTCGAAATATGAAGTAAGACAGGCTATCAACAAGCTCAAATATAACAAAGCACCAGGTCCAGATATGATAACAGCAGAAATGCTTAAAGCCACAGAAGAAACCGGCGTAAAGTTACTTCATCTACTCTGTAACCAAATATGGCATTCCAAACAATGGCCTGAAGACTGGACAAAATCTACAATAACGACCATACATAAAAAAGGCAGCTTCCATAAATGCGACAATTATAGAACTATCTCTCTTATATCCCATGCCAGCAAGATAATGCTACATATAATCAATGAAAGACTGAAAACATTCCTTCAAAGAGAAATTCCACAAGAGCAAACTGGATTTACCAAAGGTAGAGGCACTCGGGAACACCTGCTGAATATAAGACAGATAATCGAGAAATCTAGGGAATCAACATCCCACTATACATCTGTTTTATGGATTACCTAAAGCGTTCGACAGGGTCAAGTGGAGACACTATGCGAATACTAAAAAAGTGGTGTACCACAACATCGAATTACATTTATAACTGAACTATAACCCCCTCTGTGGCTCAGTGTAAGAGCGCCTGCCTTTAACCTAAAGGTCGTGAGTTCGAATCCCACCTGGGTGGAAATTTTCGTTTATTAAAAAAATTAATAAATGAAAATAATTCTATCCTTGTGTGATCGGTACACACCGGAGGGACGCAGACGTTCGATACAATTACGTCTCTTAGCAAGACAATGACGTCGACTGCTAAGTATCAAGACAATTACTCTACACACACCCACACACACACACACACACACACTACACCTCAAATTGTAAGATTGGCGAATGGATTTAGTGTCCGCAGTCATTTAAACACAAACAAATAGTCAACTGAACTATATGAACACACTACTGGATCAGTTAAAGTACTTGACACACTTTCGAACGAGTTTCATCCAGAACGGGGTGTCAGACAAGGATGTATACTATCTCCACAATTATTCAACATATATGGGGAGTATATTATGCGAAGAGCACTTGAAGGATGGGAAAAGGCATCTCAATAAATGGTCATAAACTAAACAACCTACGTTTCGCAGATGACACAGCCCGTCTTGCAAATAGTCAAGCAGAGCTGAATGGAACTTATACGACTGATTGAAAACGAAAGTCAAATATTTGGTCTGCAATTAAACATTATCAAAGACAAAGATCATGATAGTGGATAGACTACACAACAATCATCCACACATAACCACAATTGACCGGTTCGAGGTTGTGAGCTCATACTTATAGCTGGGATCATTAATCACAAACACAGGGTCATTACAAGAAGAGATTAAACGTAGATGTGATCTATCAAAAGTTGCCACAGCAAAAATGACCAAAATATGGAAGGACTGTCAAATTTCAAGAGCGATAAAGATGAGGTTGATAACTGCTTAATATTCTCAGTACTGACCTACGGATGTGAATCTTGGAACTCTGAGACAATCGGAGAGAAGAAAGATAGACGCCACTGAAATGTTCTGTTGGAGACGAATGTTACGAATTCCTTGGACCGACCGTAGAACAAATAATATAATTTTAAGAGAGCTAAAAGTTAGCCAACGACTCTCTAGTAAAAGTCCATCTCCAACAATTAAAATATTTTGGGCATGTTATGAGAGCAAACACAGAAAACATGGAAAGACTCATAATACAAGAAAGGTAGAAGGCCGAAGATCACGAGGAAGTTCCCCAACAAGATGGATAGATCAAATTACAGGAATATGCCAAAGACCTATGCATGAATTAAAAGAAATGACCAGAGACAGAGATCTCTGGAGACGGACAATACACGACATCACGTCGACCACCACAACTCCCCCTGGGGGTCAGGATTGAAGAGAGAAATCATATTTTCACATTCACCGGTGAATGTGGACATTGCTAAATCTCTCGTCATTATATATTTCGAAAGAATCATTTATAATTGTTTTTTAAATAAATTATGATATTCTCTATAAATTATTCTTTCTACTCTATAAGTCATGTATAAGATATACGTCAAAAATGACGTATATCATACGAGAACAATTGATGGGAAAAGACTAACGGATAAAATATTGAACACTCAGGGATTAACATACCACCTAAATTATAATAAAATCATAACCTGTAGATTGTAAAATATCATAATAAAATGTAACTTATGTCCCCGCTAATATCTTGATGCGGGGTTATGAGTGCCGATATACAAAACGTTTTAAAGACTCACCAGTGGTGACTGCCAGTAAAAAAACGAAGCATTTACCTTATTTTTTATTTGAGACTTTCATACATTACCCCTCATATTATTTATTATCTTGTCGTGTACCTTTCACGAGAGATTAACAAAATTAACAAAGAATTAAAAGGGTAGTTTACAATTTAAACTTAAATTTAAATAGAATTAAAATCAGTTTAATTTA